TGGACCACAGATGAGAGCTAGATTGGTAGAGGAGCAGCTGGGACTACACCAGCACTCATCCGGGAAGCTGGTATTGCTGACGGAGGCTTTACCCACTATGCCACAGCGCCGGTCCCTTCATTTCTTTTTTGAAACCAGTATGAATAACCCACAGCATTGATGAGTATGTTCTGTGCTGATTGGTACCATGTTTTCTTCTAGGTGCATTTCATTTAATAAATTTGTTCTTCCCAATAGTGGTATAGGTTCTGTGTTGCAGTTGAGGCTCCCCAGGCACAAAGCCTAAGCAGTGAAGAGGCCTAGTGTCCCAGAGCAGGATTTGGCCTCTGGGCTGTAAGTCAGGGACTGCCACTGAATCCAGACCTCATGTTAACTGCCCTGGATGGTGAAGATACTGCTCTGTCTCTCCCCTCTGCCAGGCTCTGTGCTGTGAGATCCTCTTCCGGTCTCCAAGAAGACCTTGACCTCAGCATCCTTCTGGCCCTAGGGTGGTCAACTGACATGATGTCCACACAAGTGAAGGAACAGTTGCTTCTGGATCACTCTGATCACTTTCTGTGGACAGGTTTCTTGACCTACAATTGACAGAACATGATGTATGTCCTCTTGTGTCCATGTCAGTGACTTTAATATATGTATAGGCTGTGTAGCCATCAGCACAGTGTAGCTGTGGAACATTCCCCAAACACTTAAAGAACCTCCTGCCTATTGGCACTCAGTTCTCAGTCCCGCCTCCAGGCCCTTGAGACACGTGTCTACTCACTTTCACAAATGTCCCATGCGTGTTGATGGTGTCACGGTGTATGAGGCCTTTGCCTCTCTCTACCTTCCCAGAGCCACATGTCTTCAGGGCTCCCGAGTTGGATAGGGAGTGTCAGAACAGTATGCCCTTCTGTGGGGTGGAGAGTTGTCTATATTGAGGACAGACCATATGTTTATTCGTACATCAGTTGCTGGCCATTTGATGGCTTCTACTTGCTGGTTATTATGAATGATGCAGTTAGGAGCATTCTAGACTCGCTTTTGAAAAAGAGAATATATGTATGGTTATTCATAATTGACACATATAATTGTACATGTTTATGGGGTACAGTGTGGTATTTCAGTGTAAATATATGGTATATAATGATCTGATCAGGTTAATTAAGATATCCGTCACCTGAAACATACTCATCATTTGTGTTGGGAACATCCAGAATCTCCTCTACTAGCTATTGTGAGGCACATAATTAATTACCTTTCCATTGGTTACCTCACGGTGTGGCAGAACATTTGACATTGCTCTTCACAGTGAACTGTGCTCTGTACCCGTCCACCATCCTCCCTCCACTCCCCCCTCCCCTTTCCAACTTCTGGTAAACTCTGTTCTATTTGCCTACTTCTGTGAGATCAACGTTTTAGGATTTCATACGTAAATGGGAACATGCAGTAGTTTTCCTCCTGCGATTGACTTGTTTAACTAATACAGTGTCCTCCCTGGGGCCAGCACTGTGATGTAGTGGGCTAACCCTCCCCATGTGGTGCTGGCATGCCAAATGGGGTTCATGCCCCAGCTGTTCTTCCAATCCAGCTCTCTGCTGCAAAAGCAGTGGAGAATGGTCCAAGTGTTTGGACTCCTGCACCCACCTGGGAGACACGAAAGAGGCTTCTGTCTCCTGGCTTTAGATCGGCTCAGCTCTGGCCTTTGTACCCATTTAGGGAGTGAACCAGTGTATGGGAGACCTTTGTCTGTTTCCCTCTGTCTGTAACTCAACTTCTCAAATAAATAAAATCCTTCCCCCACCGAAAAAAACCATACACAAACAGAAGAACCCACAATACCTTCCAGGCTCATGGATGTTGCTGCAGATGACATGGCTATGTTCTTTTTTATGGCTGAGTATTATTCCATTATGCATATGTAACCAGGTGTTCTTTATCAATTCATCTACCAGTAGAGTGTCTAGGTTGACTCCATACCTTGGCTTTCATGAACAGTGCTGCAGTAAATGTGGCGTGCAACTATGTTGTCAACATTTGGTTTCCTTTCCTTTGGATGTATACGCACAGACAGATTGCTGGATCATATGGCAGTTCTATTTCTGGTGTTTTGGGAAACACCACAGTGTTTGCCACAAGGGCTGCATTGATTGACATTCTTGTCCAGAGTGTGTGAGAATTCCCCTTTCTCCATGTCCTTGAATTTGTTCATTGTGTTTTTTTCTGGTCAGACCTGGGAGAGAGAATCTTTCATTGAGGTTTTGAGTTTCAAGTCCCTGATGATTAATATGATTGAGCATTATTTCATGTAGTTTTTGGCCATTTGTATATCTTCTTCTGACATGTATCTACTCAGATAATTAGCTCATTTTTAATTGCATTTTTGTGGGGGGACTTTTGGGTTGAGTTCCTTAATCTCATCAGGGGAACAACTTGCAAATACTTTCTCTTATTCTTTGAAGAATGTCATTGGTATTGTGAGAGGAATTGCATTGTGTCTATAGTAGTTGGACATTTAAAAGTTCTAGTTCTTCAAATGCATGACCATGGGATGACTTTGCACTTTTTAGTCATCTCTTCAATTTCTGTCAACTCCTTGTTCTACCACTGGGTTGCCCTCTTGATCTCTTTTCATCTGATTTGTTCCTAGGGTATTGAAATGCTATTGGTTTTTGTAAGCTGATCCTGTATCCTGCATTTTTATTGAATTCTTTTAATTCTTTTGATGAAGTTTTAAATTTTCCTATATATAAGATCATATAGATTGCAAGTAAGGACTATTTGACTTTGTTGTTTCCAAACTGATGGTGTTATTTTTTGCTCTTGCTAAATTGTGCTGGGTAGCACTCCCAGTTGTGTGTTGAGGAGAGTGGTAAAAGGGATCCATTGATTGTACAGGAACATGGTGTTTGATTTCCATGCATTTGGCTGATATCTACAATTCCTCAGGTTGATTACTAATATTTTATTCCATTATGGCCTGAGAAAAGGTGATTTTGATTTTTTAAAATGAGTTGAGGCTTGTTTTGTGGGCGAATGTGGGGTCTCTTCTGGAGAATGTTCCACGTGCTGAGGGGAAGAATGCATATTCTGCAGCGTTCCACAAATGTTAAGTCCATTTGGTGTGTAGTGCTTCTTAAGTCTAGTGCTTCTTTGCTGGTTGTCTGTCTAGATGATCTGTCCATTGACAGGTGGGATGTGGAAGTCCCCAGCTCCTATTGTTGTGGGGTCTCTACCTCCCTTTAGAACCAATATTGTTTGTATTACATGCTTAGGTGGTATTGTTTTCAGGTGCATGTATGTATTTGCAGTTGTTAGATGCTCTTTCTGACAGATTCTTTTATCCTGATGTAATGTGTGTCTGAAATGGGTTTCTTCCAGGCAGTATCTTGAGTGTTGGTCTTTATCCACTCAGCTGGTCTTTATCCTTTAAGTGGGGAATTTAACCAATTTACATTCAAAGTTGTTATTAACAGATAACAACCTATGTCTACCTTGACACTTTTTTTAGGGACAAGTATTTTCATTTATCTTAAGTATGAGCTAGGTGCTGAGTCCAACAGCAACTCTTCATATCTCCATTTGGACAACCGCTTGATTTGTACAGTGGCTGCACCATTTCACATTCTCAGCATCAATGGGTGAGGTCTGTTTGTCCATATCCTTTACAACTCTGGTTCCTCCCCATTGTTTAAACTCCTGCCACTCAAGTGGGGGAGAGTTGGTGTCACATTGTGGCTTCCATTTGCTTTTCTCTGGGGCCTGAAGATGTTGGGTAACTTTTACTGTGCTTATCTTAGAAGAAATGCATATTTAGGTATTTGACACATGGTGGTTTGGGTTGTTCATTTTCATATTGTTCAATTGTAAGTGTTCCTTATATTTTGTGGACAGAGGATCTTATCAGATACATGCTTTTAAAATATTTTGTCTGAATCTGTGTGATCTTTTTTTTACTTTGATAATGTGTTTCTTGAATCAGAAGTGTTTGAGATTTGGAGAAATTAGTGTTTATCTTTTTATTATGTATCATAGTTGTGATAATGTATCAAAAATCTGCGGGTCACTCAAAATTGTCAAGATTTGTAAGTAAATGAGAGGCCTGGAAGCTCATTTTCTGCTGGGCCATTAGGTATTTAGAGCATCATTTGCTGTGTTTGTAAGTCTGCCCAGGATGCTCCCTTTTCTGGGCCTGCTCATGTCTCCTGCGCAGATGCGCAAGTCTTCACACCTGATCAGGGGTGAGTAGACAGAAAGGACCTTCTCTTTGTTTACTGATGTAGCCCAGGCCCCCATGTGCACAACAACCTCTAGATCACCAGGGAAATACAGAAGACTTTCCAGGTCCAGATGTCAGTCTTCCTGGTTCTGCTCTGTGAACTTGAGGCTGGCGCACTGGGGAGAGGGAAATCCTGGGTGACAGAGCTCTTGCTGGTGCATACATGTCTATCCTTGGGACATCCTCTGTGTCTCCAACTTCTCAGCCAAGACCACCCATGTCTCCTGCACACCAGGCAGTCTGGGTTACATGGGGTCCTGGACAAGGCCCCTCAGTCTCCTGTGCAGTAGGCAAATCCTTGCTCTACTTTAGTTACTAGTGACCCATTGTTGAGCACAGGGACAGATACTGTGACTGCTTCTGGGTGTTTATGATGCTGGATCTGATCTTGTGCCCTCAGTTAAGAATCTCTTACCCACTCCCTGTGCACACTTCAAACTGAAGCTGTGAGCTCCCAGTGTGTGCAGGGAGGTGCAGAGCATCGCATTCCCTGATGCGGTGATGGCTGTGGCAGGGCTGCCTTCCCATTGCACAGATGAGGACACTGAGGATGCGGGGACAGCACCCGCGGCAGGTCTGTTCTGTGACCTCAGAGTCTGCGTCCCTGAGCATGAGGAGGCGCTGCCCCAGCCATGCCAGCGTCTCCCTGTTCCTTGCTTCCCTTGGCCTTCCCAGCGTGTGGTGCTCTTTGTCCAAACGGGGAACATTGGCTCTGCCCCTGGGGAGGTGCCCGTGTCCTCTGCAGAGGATGCAGGTCCCGGGCATTGGAGCCATGGTGCAGGGAGAGTGGGGTGGGGAGGGCACGGCCTGGGGAGCTGGCACGGTGCAAATTGTACATTCCACAGTGGGTAACAACTTACATTTTATTGAGGTTCAGGGACAATAAGGTGGAGAAAAGGAAGAGAGTGGGGAGGAGTAAAGAGAAATACAGGACGATGGGGGCGGGGAAGGCCAGGTGTGGCACTGGGGCTGCAGCAGAAGGGACTTGCGGAGCTGGGGCTGAGGCCGGGGCCAGTGCTGCGTCTGGTGCCCCTGCAGCGTCCTCGGCTTCAGCTGCTGCGTACAGTCCTGGCTCCAGGCCCTCCATCCCCAGAGCCTCTTCTCTCAGGGCCTCCCCTGAGCCCTGCTTGGCCCCCGGGGACACAGCTGTCCCCCGCACATCCTTGTGGTGGCGCTGATCGATGGAGGACCAGCACTGCTCCAGCGGGGGTGTTGTTGTGAGATCAGGGCTCTGTGCCGCCCCAGCCATGAGGTCAGGTGCCAGGCCCGGCCCTGACCCTGGGTCACGACTGACACAGGCGAAGTCAACGGGCCCTACTTCCTCCGCTGTGAGATGGGCATTTGCGGAGCCCCTGGGCTCTATCTGGGCTCTGACCAACAGTGTGTGACTGAGGGGGACGTCCAGTGGTTTCTGTGTGCCGGGGAACGCCCGGTACGGGGGCTTCGGAGCTGTGGGCTCGTTTGACCACTCCCCCACCACACACAGGTCATCAGTGAAAGGGGCCTGACACACGTCCTGCCTGCTGGCGATCCGCAGCCTTCTGTGCATTGCCAGGCGCGAGGCTGACCTGTCCTGGCCCTGGGAGACAAGAGCAGAGAATGGCAGGTAAGAGGCAGTCCCTGGATCCCTCCGCAGCCAGGAGCTCTGGGCCTCAGGCTGCCTCCACCTAGGACTTCCAGCCTCCCTCCTCTAAGAGGGAAGTGGCCCCTTGCCCCCCACACCCACACCCAGCCCCAGGGGCCTATGGGCTTCGGGTGGGTTCCCAGTGGTGTCCTGGCCCGCAGAGACCTGTCCTGCTTCCAGACTCACCATGGCCGTTTTCTGTTGGAAGCACCAGGAGCGTCGGGGGTGAGGGCTGGCCCAGCGTCCCCACCACTGGGCGAGGCACCCACCGCAGGGTTTCTTGGGGGCTGGGCTTGGGCATCGCGGGATACAACTCAGGAACATCTTCCTGCGAGACTCTATCCAGGTGAGCTGGTTCAGACTCAACTCTGGAATGTTGGGGTTGTTGCCGGGCCCCCCAGGTCTCCAGGTGAGGTCACTTCCTGTGGCTCCTCAACTGAGCCCCCTCCTCTCACACAAGATGGCTGCCGAGTCCCAGCGGGCGCTGCCTGCTGCCTGCTGCACTTCTAAGCCATGCCCTGTGCACACTGCCCCCCGTCGCACCAACAGGGGGAAGCCTCCGCCTGCCACAGCAGGTGTGGGTCCAGCCTTTGTCACAGCTGGGCTAGACCTGTTCCCCCCTGCTTGAGGGCTTCTCACCCTGCATGGTCATTGTCCCTGTCAAGACGCCCCAGCCTCCCGTGTGGTCCCTGGGGATCGTGTCCCAGTGAAGCTGGCGCCCTCAGCTGCCCAGCTGTGGACCCTGAGGAGCAAGAGCTCCCATCACACCCTGAGACCGACCGGGAGCCGCTCCCTGTGCATTGGGAGCCCTGTCCCAGCCCCTGAAGTGTGGCTCCTCCCAGCCACAGTCACCTGGAGGGTGGTTCTTCTCTCTCAAAGCCCAAAACGAGGCTGCGACCACCCAGACTCAGTTGCCCCGTGTGCACCTGGGGCTGTCTGCTCTAGGGAGCTGATGGTCAGTGGAGAACTGAGTGCTCCTAGCTCTGGCCTGCACCCCGGAGGAGTCGTGGGGTGGTCCTTTGGGTCCTGCAGGATCTGGGGCTTTAGCAGTGCACAGTGGTTCTTGAAGCTCATTCAGACTCCCAGGGGCGTTGGTTGGGCTCAGGGCCGGCTCTCTGAGGACCAGGGTGATGACTACCATGGCCCTGCACTTGCTGATTGTTCCCCAGGGCTGGTAGGGATCGTGCCAGCCATCTCTGGGGTCTGGGCCTGCCATGAGCCTGAGGGAGGTCAGTGTGAGGAGCCAGACGGGATAGGTGGCATGTGTGAGAGAGTGTTTCCATCCAGCGTCCTGAGGAGACCCTAGACACCGGGGCTGTTCCGTGTTGGGTTTGGACAGGGGCGTGGGGAGAGATCAGGAGTGGTGTTGGGCGTGGTTCAGTGATGAATGTCTGGGGAGTAGATGGCCGTGGTGGGGACACATAGTGTGCGTGTCCTTCCTGTTAGCTAATGGCTAGTTCCCTGTTGTGGGAATGTCCTTCCCTGAAAGATGAGGGACAGGCTCATGTGCCGGGGTTGGTGCTGACGGTGGCAGCACTGGCGATGTCGAGTGGTTTAGATGGCAGTGGCCCGTGGCCCTTCCCTGTGGGGAGCTCTCCTGTCCCCCAACCAGAGCCTGAAAAGATGCTATTTGGGTGTACTCTCGATAGTAAAGACCTCCTGTGAAAAGTTTCTGGGAGGAGTTAAGCTGCTGCTGTGCTTTGAATACTCTTTTCCTTCTTTCTCTGAGAAGTAGAGTGAGACACAGAGAGGGAGAGACAGAGAGGTCTTCCATGTGCTGGTTCAATCCGCTACTGGCCACAGTGTCCTCAAATGGGCTAATCGGAGGCCAGGAGCTGAGAGCGTCTACAGGTCTCCGGCGGCTTGGGTGCAGGGGTCCAAGGACTTGGGCCATCTTCATTGCTTTCGCAGGCCATCACCAGGGAGCTGGATGGAAGTGGAGCAGCCAGCACACAAGCCAGTGCCCATATGGGATGCTGGCGCCGCAGGTGGAGGCTTAACCTACTGCTCTACACTGCCGACCCAGGAGTGCAGCCACTTTCATCTAAGTTTGGGCTCAGGGTTTTTGTTGTTGTTGTTAAGATTGATTTATTTACTTCACTGGCAGAGTGACAGGAGAGAAAGAGGCAAGAGAGACAGAGAGAGAGAGGGAGAGAGAGAGGGAGAAAGAGAGACAGAGAGGTCTTTGATCCAATGGGTCACTCCCCAAAGGGCCACAACAGCCGGTGCTGAGCTGATCCAAAGCCAGGAGCCAGGAGCTTCTTCTGGGTCTACCACGTGGATAAGGGGGCCAAGTCCATGGCCCATGTTCCACTGCCTTCTCGTGTCTTAGCAGAGAGCTGCATTGGAAGTGGAGCAGCTGGGACTCCAACCAGTGCCCATATGGTATCTCGATGTCATAGGCAGATGTTCAACCTACTATGCCACAGCGGCGTCTTGTCCCGTCCCTTCCCTTCCCTTCCCTCCCCTTCCCTTCCCTCCCCTTCCCTTCCCTCCCCTCCCCTCCCCTTCCCTTCCCTTCCCTTCCCTTCCCTTCCCTTCCCTTCCCTTCCCTTCCCTTCCCTTCCCTTCCCTTCCCTTCCCTTCCCTTCCCTTCCCTTCCCCTCCCCTCCCCTCCCCTCCCCTCCCTCTCTCTTCTCTTCTCTTCTCTTCTCTTCTCTTCTCTTCTCTTCTCTTCTCTTCTCTTCTCTTCTCTTCTCTTCTCTTCTCTTCTCTTCTCTTCTTTTCTTTTCTTTTCTCTTCTTCTTTTCAGTTGTTGACTTGAAAGGCAGAGTTGGAGGAAGGGACAGGGAGAGAGATCCAGAAGGATGACCCTGAATTGCTGATTTAATCTCCCAGAAGCCCATGCTGGCTGAGGCTGAGTCAGGCTGAAGCCAGGAGCCTGGAACACCTTCTGGGCCTGGCACACAGGTGGCAGGGCCGGGGGCACTTGGGTCAACTTGTGCTGCTCTGCCAGGTGTGTGAGCAGGGAGCTGGAATGAAAGCAGGGCTCCAGGAGCAGAACCGGGGTTCTGATGTGGGATGCCAGCCCTGCAGGTGGGGCTTTAGCCTGTGGGCCACAGCGCCAGCCCCATGGGCCTAGGTGGCGGAAAACCTTCCAGGGGTTCCTGTGAAAGGATGTTCTGCCTCTCAGGACCCCTGAATCAGAGAAGGGGGAATCCACGTTGTAACAGGTGCCCGAGTCTACCTTCCCGACCTCCATCAGAGCTCAGGATCCCTGTTGGAGGTGGCTTTTTCATGCTGTAGGTGGAATTGAGCTGTCCTGAGGGCACGAGCAGGTAGGGAGGTGACACTCAGAAGGAGAGGATGTGCAGGACTCGGGCGATGGGGAAAAGCAGGCAGAAACAAGGAATGATGGGAACGAGCCAGGCTGGTACTGGAGAAGCCTGTCCTGTGTCATGGTTGGCATGTGACACTGGGAAGGTCTTGCAGGCATTTAGAAGTGCGGGGCAGGTGAATACAGCAGAACATGAAGCCTGAGAGTGCAGATGACCCGGAGGGGAGGGGCCTGAGCGGGTCTCCTAGTCAGCATGTGGGGCAGTAGCTGGGCACAGGGCAAGAATGCTCAGGATGAGAGATGACTCTGAACTTTCGGAAAGCACTTTTGCATGCTGACCCAGGAGCACATGAATGTACCTGGGAAAAGCGACACTGTCAACCTAGGCTTAGCACACCCAGGACGTACAGAGTGGGACGGGAAGCTAGCCGTGTGCTGTCACGTCCTGTGTGGCAGGTCGTTGGCAGGAAGAGCCTCCTGCATTCCCGAAAGCCCCAAGGGTGGTCGTGATCTGGCCTTGGGCTGTGGGCCTGCAAGGAGCCTGACCTCATGTCCTCTGCTGGTTCTGAATGTTGATGTCTCAGCTCAGCACCCTGCCATGGGCCCCCTCCCTGCGGCAGGCCAGTGTGGGGAGCACAGATCTCTGGTCTTCTCCATGCCAGAGCTGTGCAATGGAACGCCCAGGGACGCTGCTGTCACGTGCACCTAAGACCATCACTAACTGCAGGTGGACTGCGTCTGGGTTCCACTGGACAGGTGTGCAGGGCGGAGCATGGTGGTGATCCTTGACATGTTGCAGAAGGACTGTGGGGGGACAGTGATGTCACTGGGTGTGATGCAGGCCATTCCCAGGAACACACACAGGTCAGCCCCCCAGGGCCCCGGCTTCCTCCTCCACAGGCACCCCTCAGCCCTAGTAGAACATCTGAGGCATTCGATCAGAAAATCTTCAGGGTGTGATCTGTTGGAGAAAGTCATAGCGTTCCTGACCCCTGTGCTCCCTGCTGTGCTGCCCTCTTGCTGGCCCACAGGCCCATAGGGTCCCAGAGTCCGGGCTCCCGTGGGGAGGGGAGTCCTCTTCTGGGATCGGCACAGCCCTGACCTGGGCGGGGCCTCCCTCTCAGGGGGTTCCTCATCTGCCAATGGGAGTGAAGCCAGTGTCACCCCATGGCTGAGACAAGGTGCCTGGTGGACGTGGCCAGGGACCCGGAAATCCCAGGAGCTCGGGGAAGGAGCAGCCCCCGTCCTTGGGGACATGCTCTGTGTCTCCATCTTCCCAGCCGAGACCCACCCATGTGGCCTGCACAGCGGGCAGTCTGGGTCACGTGGGGTCCTGGACAAGGCCCCCCTGTCTCCTGTGCAGTGAGCACATCCCTGCTGTGATCCGTCTGTCAGTGACCCGTTGTTGAGCACAGGGCCAGAGCCTGTGACAGGTGTTGTTTGTGTGTGTCCCTGGACGGATTGTGTTCCCTCCGTGGAAGCCCCCAACCCACTCCCTGTGCACCCCTCATCCTGGAAGCTGGGGGCTCCCATTGTGTGCAGGGAGGTGCAGAGCATCGCATTCCCTGATGCGGTGATGGCTGTGGCAGGGCTGCCTTCCCATTGCACAGATGAGGACACTGAGGCTGCGGGGACAGCACCCCCGGCAGGTGCGTTCTGTGACCTCAGAGTCTGCGTCCCTGAGCATGAGGAGGCGCTGCCCCAGCCATGCCAGCGTCTCCCTGTTCCTTGCTTCCCTTGGCCTTCCCAGCATGTGGTGCTCTCTTGTCCAAACGGGGAACGTTGGCTCTGCCCCTGGGGAGGTGCCCGTGTCCTCTGCAGAGGATGCAGGTCCCGGGCATTGGAGCCATGGTGCAGGGAGAGTGGGGTGGGGAGGGCACGGCCTGGGGAGCTGGCACGGTGCAAATTGTACATTCCACAGTGGGTAACAACTTACATTTTATTGAGGTTCAGGGACAATAAGGTGGAGAAAAGGAAGAGAGTGGGGAGGAGTAAAGAGAAATACAGGACGACGGGGGCGGGGAAGGCCAGGTGTGGCACTGGGGCTGCAGCAGAAGGGACTTGCGGAGCTGGGGCTGAGGCCGGGGCCAGTGCTGCGTCTGGTGCCCCTGCAGCGTCCTCGGCTTCAGCTGCTGCGTACAGTCCTGGCTCCAGACCCTCCATCCCCAGAGCCTCTTCTCTCAGGGCCTCCCCTGAGCCCTGCTCGGCCCCCGGGGACACAGCTGTCCCCCGCGCATCCTTGTGGTGGCGCTGATCGATGGAGGACCAGCACTGCTCCAGCGGGGGTGTTGTTGTGAGATCAGGGCTCTGTGCCGCCCCAGCCGTGAGGTCAGGTGCCAGGCCCGGCCCTGACCCTGGGTCACGACTGACACAGGCGAAGTCAACGGGCCCTACTTCCTCCGCTGTGAGATGGGCATTTGCGGAGCCCCTGGGCTCTATCTGGGCTCTGACCAACAGTGTGTGACTGAGGGGGACGTCCAGTGGTTTCTGTGTGCCGGGGAACGCCCGGTACGGGGGCTTCGGAGCTGTGGGCTCGTTTGACCACTCCCCCACCACACACAGGTCATCAGTGAAAGGGGCCTGACACACGTCCTGCCTGCTGGCGATCCGCAGCCTTCTGTGCATTGCCAGGCGCGAGGCTGACCTGTCCTGGCCCTGGGAGACAAGAGCAGAGAATGGCAGGTAAGAGGCAGTCCCTGGATCCCTCCGCGGCCAGGAGCTCTGGGCCTCAGGCTGCCTCCACCTAGGACTTCCAGCCTCCCTCCTCTGAGAGGGAAGTGGCCCCTTGCCCCCCACACCCACACCCACACCCACCCCCAGGGGCCTATGGGCTTCGGGTGGGTTCCCAGTGGTGTCCTGGCCCGCAGAGACCTGTCCTGCTTCCAGACTCACCATGGCCGTTTTCTGTTGGAAGCACCAGGAGCGTCGGGGGTGAGGGCTGGCCCAGCGTCCCCACCACTGGGCGAGGCACTCACCGCAGGGTTTCTTGGGGGCTGGGCTTGGGCATCGCGGGATACAACTCAGGAACATCTTCCTGCGAGACTCTATCCAGGTGAGCTGGTTCAGACTCAACTCTGGAATGTTGGGGTTGTTGCCGGGCCCCCCAGGTCTCCAGGTGAGGTCACTTCCTGTGGCTCCTCAACTGAGCCCCCTCCTCACACACAAGATGGCTGCCGAGTCCCAGCGGGTGCTGCCTGCTGCACTTCTAAGCCATGCCCTCTGCACACTGCCCCCCGTCGCACCAACAGGGGGAAGCCTCCGCCTGCCACAGCAGGTGTGGGTCCAGCCTTTGTCACAGCTGGGCTAGACCTGTTCCCCCCTGCTTGAGGGCTTCTCACCCTGCATGGTCATTGTCCCTGTCAAGACGCCCCAGCCTCCCGTGTGGTCCCTGGGGATCGTGTCCCAGTGAAGCTGGCGCCCTCAGCTGCCCAGCTGTGGACCCTGAGGAGCAAGAGCTCCCATCACACCCTGAGACCGACCGGGAGCCGCTCCCTGTGCATTGGGAGCCCTGTCCCAGCCCCTGAAGTGTGGCTCCTCCCAGCCACAGGCACCTGGAGGGTGGTTCTTCTCTCTCAAAGCCCAAAACGAGGCTGCGACCACCCAGACTCAGTTGCCCCGTGTGCACCTGGGGCTGTCTGCTCTAGGGAGCTGATGGTCAGTGGAGAACTGAGTGCTCCTAGCTCTGGCCTGCACCCCGGAGGAGTCGTGGGGTGGTCCTTTGGGTCCTGCAGGATCTGGGGCTTTAGCAGTGCACAGTGGTTCTTGAAGCTCATTCAGACTCCCAGGGGAGTTGGTTGGGCTCAGGGCCGGCTCTCTGAGGACCAGGGTGATGACTACCGTGGCCCTGCACTTGCTGATTGTTCCCCAGGGCTGGTAGGGATCGTGCCAGGCATCTCTGGGGTCTGGGCCTGCCATGAGCCTGAGGGAGGTCAGTGTGAGGAGCCAGACGGGATAGGTGGCATGTGTGAGAGAGTGTTTCCATCCAGCGTCCTGAGGAGACCCTAGACACCGGGGCTGTTCCGTGTTGGGTTTGGACAGGGGCGTGGGGAGAGATCAGGAGTGGTGTTGGGCGTGGTTCAGTGAGGAATGTCTGGGGAGTAGATGGCCGTGGTGGGGACACATAGTGTGCGTGTCCTTCCTGTTAGCTAATGGCTAGTTCCCTGTTGTGGGAATGTCCTTCCCTGAAAGATGAGGGACAGGCTCATGTGCCGGGGTTGGTGCTGACGGTGGCAGCACTGGCGATGTCGAGTGGTTTAGATGGCAGTGGCCCGTGGCCCTTCCCTGTGGGGAGCTCTCCTGTCCCCCAACCAGAGCCTGAAAAGATGCTATTTGGGTGTACTCTCGGTAGTAAAGACCTCCTGTGAAAAGTTTCTGGGAGGAGTTAAGCTGCTGCTGTGCTTTGAATACTCTTTTCCTTCTTTCTCTGAGAAGTAGAGTGAGACACAGAGAGGGAGAGACAGAGAGGTCTTCCATGTGCTGGTTCAATCCGCTACTGGCCACAGTGTCCTCAAATGGGCTAATCGGAGGCCAGGAGCTGAGAGCGTCTACAGGTCTCCGGCGGCATGGGTGCAGGGGTCCAAGGACTTGGGCCATCTTCATTGCTTTCGCAGGCCATCACCAGGGAGCTGGGTGGAAGTGGAGCAGCCAGCACACAAGCCAGTGCCCATATGGGATGCTGGCGCCGCAGGTGGAGGCTTAACCTACTGCTCTACACTGCCGACCCAGGAGTGCAGCCACTTTCATCTAAGTTTGGGCTCAGGGTTTTTTGTTGTTGTTGTTAAGATTGATTTATTTACTTCACTGGCAGAGTGACAGGAGAGAAAGAGGCAAGAGAGACAGAGAGAGAGAGGGAGAGAGAGAGGGAGAAAGAGAGACAGAGAGGTCTTTGATCCAATGGGTCACTCCCCAAAGGGCCACAACAGCCGGTGCTGAGCTGATCCAAAGCCAGGAGCCAGGAGCTTCTTCTGGGTCTACCACGTGGATAAGGGGGCCAAGTACATGGCCCATGTTCCACTGCCTTCTCGTGTCTTAGCAGAGAGCTGCATTGGAAGTGGAGCAGCTGGGACTCCAACCGGTGCCCATATGGTATCTCGATGTCATAGGCAGATGTTCAACCTACTATGCCACAGCGCCGCCCCAGGATGTCGTCTTGTCCCTTCCCTTCCCTTCCCTTCCCTTCCCTTCCCTTCCCTCCCCTCCCCTCCCCTCCCCTCCCCTCCCCTCCCCCTCCCCTCCCCTCTCTCTTCTCTTCTCTTCTCTTCTCTTCTCTTCTCTTCTCTTCTCTTCCTCTTCTCTTCTCTTCTCTTCTCTCTCTTCTCTTCTCTTCTCTTCTCTTCCTTCCCTTCCCTTCCCTTCCCTTCCCTCCCTTCCCTTCTCTTCCCTTCTCTTCCCTTCTCTTCCCTTCTCCTTCCCTTCTCTTCCCTCTCTTCCCTTTCTTTCCCTTCTCTTCCCTTCTCTTCCCTTTCTCTTCTCTTCTCTTCTCTTCTCTTCTTCTTTTCAGTTGTTGACTTGAAAGGCAGAGTTGGAGGAAGGGACAGGGAGAGAGATCCAGAAGGATGACTCTGAATTGCTGATTTAATCTCCCAGAAGCCCATGCTGGCTGAGGCTGAGTCAGGCTGAAGCCAGGAGCCTGGAACACCTTCTGGGCCTGGCACACAGGTGGCAGGGCCGGGGGCACTTGGGTCAACTTGTGCTGCTCTGCCAGGTGTGTGAGCAGGGAGCTGGAATGAAAGCAGGGCTCCAGGAGCAGAACCGGGGTTCTGATGTGGGATGCCAGCCCTGCAGGTGGGGCTTTAGCCTGTGGGCCACAGCGCCAGCCCCATGGGCCTAGGTGGCGGAAAACCTTCCAGGGGTTCCTGTGAAAGGATGTTCTGCCTCTCAGGACCCCTGAATCAGAGAAGGGGGAATCCACGTTGTAACAGGTGCCCGAGTCTACCTTCCCGACCTCCATCAGAGCTCAGGATCCCTGTTGGAGGTGGCTTTTTCATGCTGTAGGTGGAATTGAGCTGTCCTGAGGGCACGTGCAGGTAGGGAGGTGACACTCAGAAGGAGAGGATGTGCAGGACTCGGGCGATGGGGAAAAGCAGGCAGAAACAAGGAATGATGGGAACGAGCCAGGCTGGTACTGGAGAAGCCTGTCCTGTGTCATGGTTGGCATGTGACACTGGGAAGGTCTTGCGGGCATTTAGAAGTGCGGGGCGGGTGAATACAGCAGAACATGAAGCCTGAGAGTGCAGATGACCCGGAGGGGAGGGGCCTGAGCGGGTCTCCTAGTCAGCATGTGGGGCAGTAGCTGGGCACAGGGCAAGAATGCTCAGGATGAGAGATGACTCTGACCTTTCGGAAAGCACTTTTGCATGCTGACCCAGGAGCACATGAATGTACCTGGGAAAAGCGACGCTGTCAACCTAGGCTTAGCACACCCAGGACGTACAGAGTGGGACGGGAAGCTAGCCGTGTGCTGTCACGTCCTGTGTGGCAGGTCGTTGGCAGGAAGAGCCTCCTGCATTCCCGAAAGCCCCAAGGGTGGTCGTGATCTGGCCTTGGGCTGTGGGCCTGCAAGGAGCCTGACCTCATGTCCTCTGCTGGTTCTGAATGTTGATGTCTCAGCTCAGCGCCCTGCCATGGGCCCCCTCCCTGCGGCAGGCCAGTGTGGGGAGCACAGATCTCTGGTCTTCTCCATGCCAGAGCTGTGCAATGGAACGCCCAGGGACGCTGCTGTCACGTGCACCTAAGACCATCACTAACTGCAGGTGGACTGCGCCTGGGTTCCACTGGACAGGTGTGCAGGGCGGAGCATGGTGGTGATCCTTGACATGTTGCAGAAGGACTGTGGGGGGACAGTGATGTCACTGGGTGTGATGCAGGCCATTCCCAGGAACACACACAGGTCAGCCCCCCAGGGCCCCGGCTTCCTCCTCCACAGGCACCCCTCAGCCCTAGTAGAACATCTGAGGCATTCGATCAGAAAATCTTCAGGGTGTGATCTGTTGGAGAAAGTCATAGCGTTCCTGACCCCTGTGCTCCCTGCTGTGCTGCCCTCTTGCTGGCCCACAGGCCCATAGGGTCCCAGAGTCCGGGCTCCCGTGGGGAGGGGAGTCCTCTTCTGGGATCGGCACAGCCCTGACCTGGGCGGGGCCTCCCTCTCAGGGGGTTCCTCATCTGCCAATGGGAGTGAAGCCAGTGTCACCCCATGGCTGAGACAAGGTGCCTGGTGGACGTGGCCAGGGACCCGGAAATCCCAGGAGCTCGGGGAAGGAGCAGCCCCCGTCCTTGGGGACATGCTCTGTGTCTCCATCTTCCCAGCCGAGACCCACCCATGTGGCCTGCACAGCGGGCAGTCTGGGTCACGTGGGGTCCTGGACAAGGCCCCCCTGTCTCCTGTGCAGTGAGCACATCCCTGCTGTGATCCGTCTGTCAGTGACCCGTTGTTGAGCACAGGGCCAGAGCCTGTGACAGGTGTTGTTTGTGTGTGTCCCTGGACGGATTGTGTTCCCTCCGTGGAAGCCCCCAACCCACTCCCTGTGCACCCCTCATCCTGGAAGCTGGGGGCTCCCATTGTGTGCAGGGAGGTGCAGAGCATCGCATTCCCTGATGCGGTGATGGCTGTGGCAGGGCTGCCTTCCCATTGCACAGATGAGGACACTGAGGCTGCGGGGACAGCACCCCCGGCAGGTGCGTTCTGTGACCTCAGAGTCTGCGTCCCTGAGCATGAGGAGGCGCTGCCCCAGCCATGCCAGCGTCTCCCTGTTCCTTGCTTCCCTTGGCCTTCCCAGCATGTGGTGCTCTTTGTCCAAACGGGGAACGTTGGCTCTGCCCCTGGGGAGGTGCCCGTGTCCTCTGCAGAGGATGCAGGTCCCGGGCATTGGAGCCATGGTGCAGGGAGAGTGGGGTGGGGAGGGCACGGCCTGGGGAGCTGGCACGGTGCAAATTGTACATTCCACAGTGGGTAACAACTTACATTTTATTGAGGTTCAGGGACAATAAGGTGGAGAAAAGGAAGAGAGTGGGGAGGAGTAAAGAGAAATACAGGACGACGGGGGCGGGGAAGGCCAGGTGTGGCACTGGGGCTGCAGCAGAAGGGACTTGCGGAGCTGGGGCTGAGGCCGGGGCCAGTGCTGCGTCTGGTGCCCCTGCAGCGTCCTCGGCTTCAGCTGCTGCGTACAGTCCTGGCTCCAGACCCTCCATCCCCAGAGCCTCTTCTCTCAGGGCCTCCCCTGAGCCCCTGCTCGGCCCCCGGGGACACAGCTGTCCCCCGCGCATCCTTGTGGTGGCGCTGATCGATGGAGGACCAGCACTGCTCCAGCGGGGGTGTTGTTGTGGAGATCAGGGCTCTGTGCCGCCCCAGCCGTGAGGTCAGGTGCCAGGCCCGGCCCTGACCCTGGGTCACGACTGACACAGGCGAAGTCAACGGGCCCTACTTCCTCCGCTGTGAGATGGGCATTTGCGGAGCCCCTGGGCTCTATCTGGGCTCTGACCAACAGTGTGTGACTGAGGGGGACGTCCAGTGGTTTCTGTGTGCCGGGGAACGCCCGGTACGGGGGCTTCGGAGCTGTGGGCTCGTTTGACCACTCCCCCACCACACACAGGTCATCAGTGAAAGGGGCCTGACACACGTCCTGCCTGCTGGCGATCCGCAGCCTTCTGTGCATTGCCAGGCGCGAGGCTGACCTGTCCTGGCCCTGGGAGACAAGAGCAGAGAATGGCAGGTAAGAGGCAGTCCCTGGATCCCTCCGCGGCCAGGAGCTCTGGGCCTCAGGCTGCCTCCACCTAGGACTTCCAGCCTCCCTCCTCTGAGAGGGAAGTGGCCCCTTGCCCCCACACCACCCACACCCACACCCAGCCCCAGGGGCCTATGGGCTTCGGGTGGGTTCCCAGTGGTGTCCTGGCCCGCAGAGACCTGTCCTGCTTCCAGACTCACCATGGCCGTTTTCTGTTGGAAGCACCAGGAGCGTCGGGGGTGAGGGCTGGCCCAGCGTCCCCACCACTGGGCGAGGCACCCACCGCAGGGTTTCTTGGGGGCTGGGCTTGGGCATCGCGGGATACAACTCAGGAACATCTTCCTGCGAGACTCTATCCAGGTGAGCTGGTTCAGACTCAACTCTGGAATGTTGGGGTTGTTGCCGGGCCCCCCAGGTCTCCAGGTGAGGTCACTTCCTGTGGCTCCTCAACTGAGCCCCCTCCTCTCACACAAGATGGCTGCCGAGTCCCAGCGGGCGCTGCCTGCTGCACTTCTAAGCCATGCCCTATGCACACTGCCCCCCGTCGCACCAACAGGGGGAAGCCTCCGCCTGCCACAGCAGGTGTGGGTCCAGCCTTTGTCACAGCTGGGCTAGACCTGTTCCCCCCTGCTTGAGGGCTTCTCACCCTGCATGGTCATTGTCCCTGTCAAGACGCCCCAGCCTCCCGTGTGGTCCCTGGGGATCGTGTCCCAGTGAAGCTGGCGCCCTCAGCTGCCTAGCTGTGGACCCTGAGGAGCAAGAGCTCCCATCACACCCTGAGACCGACCGGGAGCCGCTCCCTGTGCATTGGGAGCCCTGTCCCAGCCCCTGAAGTGTGGCTCCTCCCAGCCACAGGCACCTGGAGGGTGGTTCTTCTCTCTCAAAGCCCAAAACGAGGCTGCGACCACCCAGACTCAGTTGCCCCGTGTGCACCTGGGGCTGTCTGCTCTAGGGAGCTGATGGTCAGTGGAGAACTGAGTGCTCCTAGCTCTGGCCTGCACCCCGGAGGAGTCGTGGGGTGGTCCTTTGGGTCCTGCAGGATCTGGGGCTTTAGCAGTGCACAGTGGTTCTTGAAGCTCATTCAGACTCCCAGGGGCGTTGGTTGGGCTCAGGGCCGGCTCTCTGAGGACCAGGGTGATGACTACCGTGGCCCTGCACTTGCTGATTGTTCCCCAGGGCTGGTAGGGATCGTGCCAGGCATCTCTGGGGTCTGGGCCTGCCATGAGCCTGAGGGAGGTCAGTGTGAGGAGCCAGACGGGATAGGTGGCATGTGTGAGAGAGTGTTTCCATCCAGCGTCCTGAGGAGACCCTAGACACCGGGGCTGTTCCGTGTTGGGTTTGGACAGGGGCGTGGGGAGAGATCAGGAGTGGTGTTGGGCGTGGTTCAGTGAGGAATGTCTGGGGAGTAGATGGCCGTGGTGGGGACACACAGTGTGCGTGTCCTTCCTGTTAGCTAATGGCTAGTTCCCTGTTGTGGGAATGTCCTTCCCTGAAAGATGAGGGACAGGCTCATGTGCCGGGGTTGGTGCTGACGGTGGCAGCACTGGCGATGTCGAGTGGTTTAGATGGCAGTGGCCCGTGGCCCTTCCCTGTGGGGAGCTCTCCTGTCCCCCAACCAGAGCCTGAAAAGATGCTATTTGGGTGTACTCTCGAGTAGTAAAGACCTCCTGTGAAAAGTTTCTGGGAGGAGTTAAGCTGCTGCTGTGCTTTGAATACTCTTTTCCTTCTTTCTCTGAGAAGTAGAGTGAGACACAGAGAGGGAGAGACAGAGAGGTCTTCCATGTGCTGGTTCAATCCGCTACTGGCCACAGTGTCCTCAAATGGGCTAATCGGAGGCCAGGAGCTGAGAGCGTCTACAGGTCTCCGGCGGCATGGGTGCAGGGGTCCAAGGACTTGGGCCATCTTCATTGCTTTCGCAGGCCATCACCAGGGAGCTGGGTGGAAGTGGAGCAGCCAGCACACAAGCCAGTGCCCATATGGGATGCTGGCGCCGCAGGTGGAGGCTTAACCTACTGCTCTACACTGACGACCACAGGAGTGCAGCCCCTTCATTCTAAGTTTGGGCTCAGGGTTTTTTGTTGTTGTTGTTAAGATTGATTTATTTACTTCACTGGCAGAGTGACAGGAGAGAAAGAGGCAAGAGAGACAGAGAGAGAGAGGGAAGAGAGAGAGGGAGAAAGAGAGACAGAGCGGTCTTTGATCCAATGGGTCACTCCCCAAGGGCCACAACAGCCGGTGCTGAGCTGATCCAAGCCAGGAGCCAGGAGCTTCTTCTGGGTCTACCACGTGGATAAGGGGCCAAGTCCATGGCCCATTGTCCACTGCTTCTCGTGTCTTAGCAGAGAGCTGCATTGGAAGTGGAGCAGCTGGGAGCCAACCGGTGCCCATATGGTATCTCGATGTCATAGGCAGATGTTCAACCTACTTTGCCACAGCGCCGCCCCAGGAGTCGTCCTTGTCCTTCCTTCCCTTCCATTCCCTTCCTCCCTTCCCTTCCCTCCCTTCCCCCCCTTCCCTCCCTTCCCTTCCCTTCCCTTCCCCTCCCCTCCCCTCCCCTCCCCTCCCCTCCCCCTCCCCTCCCTCCCTCTTCTCTTCTCTTCTCTTCTCTCTTTCCTTCTCTTCTCTTCTTCTCTTCTCTTCTCTTCTTCTTTTCAGTTGTTGACTTGAAAGGCAGAGTTGGAGGAAGGGACAGGAGAGAGATCCAGAAGGATGACTCTGAATTGCTGATTTAATCTCCCAGAAGCCCATGCTGGCTGAGGCTGAGTCAGGCTGAAGCCAGGAGCCTGGAACACCTTCTGGGCCTGGCACACAGGTGGCAGGGCCGGGGCACTTGGGTCAACTTGTGCTGCTCTGCCAGGTGTGTGAGCAGGGAGCTGGAATGAAAGCAGGGCTCCAGGAGCAGAACCGGGGTTCTGATGTGGGATGCCAGCCCTGCAGGTGGGCTTTAGCCTGTGGGCCACAGCGCCAGCCCCATGGGCCTAGGTGGCGGAAAACCTTCCAGGGGTTCCTGTGAAAGGATGTTCTGCCTCTCAGGACCCCTGAATCAGAGAAGGGGAATCCACGTTGTAACAGGTGCCCGAGTCTACCTTCCCGACCTCCATCAGAGCTCAGGATCCCTGTTGGAGGTGGCTTTTTCATGCTGTAGGTGGAATTGAGCTGTCCTGAGGGCACGTGCAGGTAGGGAGGTGACACTCAGAAGGAGAGGATGTGCAGGACTCGGGCGATGGGGAAAAGCAGGCAGAAACAAGGAATGATGGGAACGAGCCAGGCTGGTACTGGAGAAGCCTGTCCTGTGTCATGGTTGGCATGTGACACTGGAAGGTCTTGCGGGCATTTAGAAGTGCGGGGCGGGTGAATACAGCAGAACATGAAGCCTGAGAGTGCAGATGACCCGGAGGGAGGGCCTGAGCGGGTCTCCTAGTCAGCATGTGGGGCAGTAGTGGGCACAGGGCAAGAATGCTCAGGATGAGAGATGACTCTGACTTTCGGAAAGCACTTTTGCATGCTGACCCAGGAGCACATGAATGTACCTGGGAAAAGCGACGCTGTCAACCTAGGCTTAGCACACCCAGGACGTACAGAGTGGGACGGGAAGCTAGCCGTGTGCTGTCACGTCCTGTGTGGCAGGTCGTTGGCAGGAAGAGCCTCCTGCATTCCCGAAAGCCCCAAGGGTGGTCGTGATCTGGCCTTGGGCTGTGGGCCTGCAAGGAGCCTGACCTCATGTCCTCTGCTGGTTCTGAATGTTGATGTCTCAGCTCAGCGCCCTGCCATGGGCCCCCTCCCTGCGCAGGCCAGTGTGGGGAGCACAGATCTCTGGTCTTCTCCATGCCAGAGCTGTGCAATGGAACGCCCAGGGACGCTGCTGTCACGTGCACCTAAGACCATCACTAACTGCAGGTGGACTGCGCCTGGGTTCCACTGGACAGGTGTGCAGGGCGGAGCATGTTGGTGATCCTTGACATGTTGCAGAAAGGACTGTGGGGGGACAGTGATTCACTGGG